CCGAGAGCCCGTGCTCCACACCGAGGAGCCACTGCAACGAGCAGCCTGTGTACAACTGGAGCAGCATGCGCAGCAGTGAAGACCCAACGCAGCCAGAAGAAAAAATACACGTCATATCACATTACACTCCCCAGAAGGGTTTACTAGCACTCAGGAATGGACTGTGTCCTGGATTACTATCTGATAACAAGGGAACATCGGTCAAAGGCAAAGAAAACAATTGCTTTTTTAAATACATTTTTAAGATTAAAGAAAAAAGCTGTGTAAACAAGCAAAAGACACGTTTCTTCAGTGCTACCACAAAATTTGGAAAAGTAATAAGGACTTGAGGACTTAATTGCCACATAAGACTAGAAAACTTGTTATTCTATTTTAGTCTGGCTAGAAAATGTACTGTTTGCCAAGACCCAAAATTCTGTTCAGCTTTACCACAAATTCACTTATCATCTCCAGCTACTGTCATTCTCATTACTGCACCTCACAAGTTTGACCAGTACCTATCTATGTAATCAAACAGAATGTGAACATGTGCTTGGTTGACCTCATACCCACAAATAAACCATTTATATCCTAGACTATGGGCAATGGTAATGTTTCCCATCTCCAAACTCTAACTATAAAGAAAGTCTGGTTCCCCTGTGCATGCTCTGGGCACTCAATGAATGAATGAAATTGGGTCATGATAAACAGAGAACATATTTTAAATTTTTAAAAATACCATATGGAAACAAAATAATCATGTAAACTTGTGCTTAACTTGCTGTCTGAATTGTCTTCATTAAAAGTCAAATATGAATAAATCTGTTGTTCTGGAGCACACACATTTATGTCTCAGCACACATGCTTAGCTATAACCTTGACAGTGCAGAGAAGTACTCATAACGTAATTGTTGGGGACATTCCAATACTTCCCAAGCAGGGAAATATGCCAAAAATTACACTCATATCAAGGACTTTGGACTTCCTCACCCCTTTTTCCTAGCCCTATTTCCAAAGGGGGCAAAACCAGTAAGTTTATAGACTTCCCCAGAATGCTAGCTACTCCTTAAGCTTAATTTACAAAAATGTACATCTTAAAAGTCAGGTACTCAACTTCTAGTTCAGGAACTGTCATCACTGATTTAACTTTCTTTTAAAAGGTATGATTCCGATTTGTTCTTGGAAAGTTGGTCAATTGATTGAGGGTAGAATTTGACATAGGGTAGAAATTGCTTTCGACTCAGCGACTAACACTTTCAGTCATGTCTAACTCTTTGGGACCCCATGGACTGTAGGAGAAGAAGGGGGTGACAGAGAATGAGATGGTTGGATGGCATCACTAAGTCAATGGACAGGAGTTTCAGCCAACTCTGGGAGACAGCAAAGGGCAGGGAAGCCTGATGTACTGCAGTTTATGGCGTCACAGAGTCAGACACGACTTCACAACTCAACAAGAAATTGCTTTCAGGGAACTGAATATTTATAAAGACCAAAGACAAACTAAAACATTTATATATTAGATACAGACACATACCAAGTTGTTAACAATAGTTACCGCTAGAGGGATGGTGGGGGAGGTGGAGACCTGAAGAAAGATTTTCATTTTTCATTCTGTATTAAAGGCACAAATTAACCAAGTTTTCAATTTTTGGTAGCACGAAGTCTTGTGTTATGTAATGCTCAAAGCTGTATAAAGACTCATTTTAGTTTGTCCTCCTTTTCCTATCAACTATACCTTCCCTTTTTTCCTTCTTTCCTCAAATAAAAACTTACTCTGAATAAAGAAAAATCTGCTAAAGTTAACTCCTGAATTTTATATATTAGTCAACAGTAGGCCAAAAGTAAAATACTTCAAATGAATTGTAGGCAGATGTCTAATTTCTTGATTCACATGCTTAAAAGAGACCCGGATTCTAAGTTAAGTCCTGCCTTGCATTTAAATTCTATGATTCTAATGAAATCCATCTAATTGGCCAGATTCCTCTGGGGTTTTTTTTTTTGTTTTTAGGCCATGTGGCATGTGGGATCCCAGTTCCCCGACTACACCAGTGACCTAACATGTGCTCCCTGCATTGACAGCGAGGAATCCTAATCATCAGACTGCCAGGGAAATTTCTGGAGAAGGTTTTATGGAGAGTCAGAAGTTATATAGAAAGGCAAAACACACCCAGAGAGATTTGGAAGAAAATGAAAATCTGTATATACTGATGTAAAATCTGGACATTTTGGTAGGAAAAAAAGCAAGTTGCAAAACACATGCATAGTAAGACACAATATGTAAAAATGCACAAAATTATATATTCCTATAGGTAAATATATATGTACGTAAATGCATAAAGAAAAGGTGACTGAAGAGTATACACTCTGGGGTACCCTAGTGGCACTTCCACAATATCTGCATTTTTTTTCCTAGAATGTAGTCATATGTAATTAAATACAAAACGAGGAACTTTTATACGTCTAGAAAGTACTTCATATGATGGTTTCCTTAAAATAGCTTGCTACCACTAAAGATTGTTGAGTTGTTTAGTCACTAAGTTGTGTCTGACTCCTTGTGACCTCATGGACTGCAGCAGGCTCCTCTGTCCATTGCATTTCCCATGCAAGAATACTGGAGTGGGTTGCCATTTCCTTCTCAAGAGCATCTTCCTGACCCAGCAATCAAATCCACATCTCCTGCATTGGCAGGCGGATTCTTTACCACTGACCACCAGAGAAACCCACCACTAAAGGTATAGTTTACCAAATACCACTGTTGTCTGTTTTTCATCATCATCATACTTTACCCCTGCTATCCCTCACCTTTCTCTCATTGCTCCACACAAGCTCAAATTTAAGGAAATCACATAAGCTGTTTCTTGGGTATTTGATAATGAAGATATGATTCAGTCGCCAGGAAGTACCAAAATCAGAGAGAACTGATATCGTTGACAATAAAGATCATTTAAGTAGGTGGGCTCATCCTCTGGCTTTAATCCATTGCACTTGGAAATATGTGCATTATTTTGGAGAGGACCAGATGCTTTAAGAATAAGATTCTTTCTGGGTGTGCCATGTACCATGCCATGGTCATTATCTACTGCAGAAAAGATGCTGCAGTAGAAAGGTTAACACCCAAAAGCACACTCGGCTTCCTTAGAAGAGAGATTATATATAAATTCCAGATAGCCCAAGCAGTGGTAAAGATCTGCCAAAGTGGTTTGTTTAGAAGCAAAGCATTTTGCTTAAAATTGCAAAATTGTTTAAGAGTACTTCTACATTTTTTTATTACATGTGATTAATACTAAAATACTTACATGTAGGAAAGTTTGCTCAAAATTATAGTTTTCTTGAAAAGGGAAAAGTTATCAAAGTCAGACATATGGATAGCATCAATTTTAGCCCACAACACCAAATATATTATTACTGTTTTAGTTGATAAAAAATTATAGAACAGCAGCTTACTAGAATCAATGACTATTATGAAATCAAGTAAATGTACAAGTTCAATGAATCCCAGCTTTTAATTATTAAAATCTAGGTAATGCAACTTATAATTTAGAAAAGAACACTTAAGGATCTATTTAGGTTCTCTTATCTTTAGAAATTATTGTAAGGTTCATGACCAGCAAGGTCATTACTATTTACCCCATTTTCCAGAAGATCTCAACATTTTAAATGGTTACAAATTAAGTATTCCCTCTTTGTTACACTGTATCTACTTTTTTGGGGGGTATCTACTTTAAAAAACATATCTTCTTTTAGATATAGAGATACTTTTAAAGTGCCTACTTTAAAAAACTATAATGGCAAACAGAAGTCAAAAGGTAAATTTCACAAGTCAAAGGCATGGATCAAACCCTTCTAGAATGTAAGTTATATCATCTGAAGATAATAAAAGATCAATGATCTAGACCCCTGGTAGTATCTGTAATACAGAAAATTGCAAATTACGGATTAAAAGAAATAAACAGTATAACAAGTCATTTTTAATGTTCTAAATATTTGGCACAATGCATAATTTGCCTTATTTAGAAACTATGTTAAAAGTACTGTAATTTTTAAAATGATTTTAAAAATTGTAAGTTTGTAGAATTTCCTATCTACCTTTCATTCTACCTCTTACTACCTTCCTTCTCTATTTCTTACTAAAAATCTAAAAATGAAATATTCTGCTTTTATTTTAATGCCAAATAAGAAGTAATTACTAATAACATACAAGCTAATATTTTTAAAAAGATTTTAATTTAGCTGTTACAGCCATAGCTTTAGACTACTTTCAGAAGATATCCCCAGAACCAAAGAAATTCAGATGTTTCATATGATAATGTGATGCTCTTTTCAGATTACTGTTTACCCCCAAATTGTGAAATGTGTATTTTTAAAAACAATAATCTTCCTCTATAATCACAATGCAAAACAAGCAGAATACCCATTGTCACTACAGAAACTATGATTGTATACTTTAAATATCTGGATGCCTTTTTAATGACTATCTCAAACCAACTTTTAATTTATATATACCAACAGTATACACTTATTAGTTGAAAAATACATAGGTTCTACCTTCCTACTACTTTTAATACACATGATAATTTGTGTCTTCTTCCTAGTAGCACAATTATAAGGACAAGAACACAAAAGATGTATTAAGGAGGTAAAGTAAATATCAGAAAAGCTTTCTTAGCCTTGGTTTATTTTTTTTTTTTTTATCTTTCCTTTGAATACACACTGCAACTGCTTTGTCCTCTTTCACTACCCTTTCACTCTATTCCTACCTAAAACTTTTGAGCCTTGGAGCAAGGTCAGGTATACCATATTATCTATTGTTGCTACTGAATTAGTTTAAATTACAGGTGAAAAAAAGAATGAAATGCTTGATGTTAAGGAAGATACACAGAAACCAAGGAAGAGTAAAGAAAGAAACATGGAGTGGTTGTACCTCACCAATAATTACCTGGCAACTCTGGAGAAGAGGTTTCTATCTGGACTTTATATCATTAATATAGGGTCGAAAATCAAAGAGTCCAACTCTCCAATCATGACTTTTGATTTTACTTTTTTAAATAAACCTCAATTTCACCTCTAATTAGTTTTAAAAACATACTTCACTCCAATGGAGAAAAGCTTATTTCCCACTACATCTACAGCCAAGACTTTCCCTACAGACAAAATAACCAGGAAGGCAAAAACGATTTGTTCCAGTATCTGTACTCAGAACTCCCCCTGCCTCCCTCCAGGAAAACGATTTGTTCCAGTATCTGTGCTCAGAATTCCTCCTGCCTCCCTCCAGGAAAATGATTTGTTCCAGTATCTGTGCTCAGAATTCCTCCTGCCTCCCTCCAGGAAACCAATTTGTTCCAGTATCTGTACTCAGAATTCCCCCTGCCTCCCTCCAGGAAACCAAGAAACTACACAGAGTATGATCATCCCATAAAAGAGGACAATTTTAGCTTATCTTCCAGGCAACTCTTTCCATCCCACCCTCCCTCAACACACACAACAGAGAAGCCGTGTGAGGGTGTGACAGAGATTAATAATTAAAGAGGGTAAAAATGCAGACTTATAGAATACTTAATACTAAGTTAAAATTGCAATATCATAACATCAAGATGGCAATTCATTCAACTTTAATCCATTTGGGAAAGTTACTTTTTTAGTAACTATAACTTCTTTATATTCTCTTAAGTGTTCAAGCTAACAACTTTATTGGATACTACTGCTTCTTGTAAGAAGTAAATCCAGGGACCATTTCATTTTATCTTAGACATAACATTTACTAGTTTTCCAAGCATGACAGAAATGGAAAAATATATATATTAGAACAAGAACAATTTATGTTAATTTACACAATTTGTGTTCTTCCTGTGCCTGATTCTATTAAAATTAACAAATTTAAGTTTAGTCTTATGCTTAAGGAAAAAAAAACCTAGTGAGACTAATTTACAAAGTATACAAGAATATAATTTTATAATAAATCTTTCCAGTGTTTGCTATAACTGCATTACATGAAATGTTTCCCTTCAAAGAAACTCAGAAGGATAGCGCTTACAAAATGAAACAAAACTTTCTGTGTTTATCTCTGGCAAGCAATGAACAAATACGATTTGCTTAGGAAGGATCTAGAAGCGCTGCCTCGGGAGCAGAAACCACCACTAACATGCTGCTGTGTAAAAGTCTTGGTGAGCGGCTACTATCTGGGGCTTCCTCCTCTCTTCTCATACCAGTGAATCCATTTCATATAAAGCCTAAGAGAAAAACTAAAGCTTCGCAGAAGTGAAACTCAGCATGCTCTTCAAATACTTCTAAGGTACCATTCTAAAGCAAAAACGGCAGAAGTCATCTCTTTTATCCCTGCCCCACAAAAAACCCCGCAAACCCCACAAAAGAACAAAACAACCCAAAACCCAAAGGCAAATGCTGTTGCTCAATGATCAGATGGATTTAGAGGCGAAAAACGTGATAACAGCAATAATTCAAGTAAAGTATATATGAGAAACTTGAAACACGCCACTTTCAAATTAAGACAGAAGTGAAGGGGAGCTATGACCTTTATATCAGAGTCAAAAAGCTTAGGCATTATCACCAAATGTTAATTCACTTTACAGTCATCAATGAGACTACTGTATATATTTTTGCACCTTGCACTTGTAAAAGCAGATAAAATATTTAATATGTAATTTTACATTGTATTTTACCAGCTCAGCATACAGGATGTATATAGATTATATCAAAGTGTAGTAGACAGTTAGGGGCCTGTGCAAACCCTGCAAAAATAGTACTTCAGGTATCTGCTAATTAAAAAAAAAAAGAAGAAGAAAACAAAAGACAGTATGCTGTTTAGAAGGGATACAATTCAAACTACCACAAAATACAAAGGACTGCAAAAATGTATACCATTCCAACAACATATATAAGTTATTAAATAAAGATTTGATTTAAAAGAATATAAATGAAGCCTTTAAGTAGGTCTTTTCTACATGCATATTATTTCTTATTAAAGAAAAAAATATGTAAAAAGGCCATTGGTAATTGCTTTGTTAACATTTGTAGAAAATGCCAATTCTCTGGTCACAAACTCCACTAAGTTTAGCACTTAAGGTCTCTGCAGTTATAAACGTAATTTAAAATACTGTTAATTCTGTAACTCCATCGGTAAAATAATGTGACTTGGAATATGGCAGTCTTCATGTTGAGGGCAATGATCCACAGTTTGTTTTTTTCACTTTCTTAGGGGTGAACAGTTATCCAGAAGAACAGCACCCTCCACCAACGCTCTGGGCTTGAGGTTCATCATCAATAATCTGTACACCTCGCCTTGCAGCTCCCGGCTGACTGGAGCCATTGCCTTTTGCCCTCTCATCCACTTGTGCTGTCTCTATCATTCCTAAGAGAGGGAGAAAGCAGACATCATTTAGGACCACAATCTGAGTCTTCTGTTTCTCTAATGTCAGTTTACCATCATGAGAGTGGATTTTGAACCAACAAGGCAACTAATAGTGAAGAGTATTTGTCCACAGTGACATCACCAGAGAAAACAAGTTTTTGATCTGAACAAATGACTATTGTATAAGTGTCATCCTTAAGATGTTCCAAATATACTTAGAAATATGTCAGTTCAATTTAGTTCAGTCGCCTAGTCGTGTCTGACTCTTTGCAACCCCATGGACTGCAGCACACTAGGCCTCCCTGTCCATCACCAACTCCCAGAGTTTACTCAAAGTCACGTCCCTTGAGTTGGTGATGCCATCCAACCATCTCATCCTCTGTCGTCCCCTCTTACCACCTTCAAAATATGTCAAAGAAGGTCAAACTGTTCCAAGTACAAGCAATATTTAGGGTACAAGATTATTCTTCAAGTAATGTAAAACTTTTAAGCAAATAATATTTGAAAGAACCAAAGAGATTAGGATGAAGGAGGAAGAAGAAAGCTGGAGGACTCACACTATCTGGTTTAAAAGATACAATAGAAAGTTGCTCTAATGATGACAATGAGATACTGGTGAAAGAAGAAATACAGAGATCAACAAAACAGGTCCAGAAACAGACTCCCATACATATGGTCACTAGATTTTTAACACATGTGCCAAGTTTACTGAATGAACACAGAATCATCTTTTCAAGAAACAGTACTAGAACTGGACATTTACATGTAAAAAATGAAAGTTCCATCTATATCTCCCACCATATGTGAACATTAGTAAGAAATTAATTTCAGACCTAAATGTAAAACAAAATGTTTAGAAGAAAACATAGGAGGAGGGGCTTCCCTGGTGGCTCACTGGTAAAGAAGTAGATCCTAATGCAGATCAATCCTTGATCCAGGAGAATCCCACATGACTCAGAGCAACTAAGCCCATGCAGCGCAACTACTGACGCCTGCGGGTCCCTGAGCCAGTGCTCCCAACAGGGAGAGCCACTGCCGTGGGAAGCCTGCAGACCGCAACTAGAGAATAGCCCCCACTCTCCGCAACTGAAGAAAAGCCCATACAGCAGCAAAGACCCAGCATGGCCAAAAATAAACTAACTGATTTTTTTTAATAAAAGAAAAAAAATAGGAGGAAATCTCTGTAGAAGAAAATCTTTATGACTTTTGAGTTAGCAAAGATTTCTCATGTAAGACACACAAAAAATGACTCATAAAGAAAAACTGATAAATCAGACCTCATTAAAATTTAGATCTTTTGCCCTCCGAGAGACAGTTAAGAAAAATGAGAATATAAGACACAGACTAGGAGTAAATAGTTGCAAAACACATATCTGAAAAGATGAGCAAAGAAAAGAGAGTCTTCAGAACAGAATAAGGGTTCTAAACTTGGATCCATAGACTGATCTTGAACAATGGTTTCCAAATTGAGGTATATGGGACAATTCACTGAGATGAAGTTAGAAAAGAGTTTCCCCCAACCTTTCAAAATTTCTATTTTTTTAAATATATGTTTTACAATATACAAAATACAAAAGCACTTGTACATGTTCTATAATTTTAAAATAACATATGGAGAACACTCAATCTTTTTATATAAAGATGTGATATATAACATTTACAAGCCACTGATCTAGAACCTCAGTACTCAAAGTATGGTCTAAGGACTAGTGTCACTAACCCTTGGGTGTCTGTTAGAAAACACAAGTTCAGGCCTACACAAGACCCACTTTATCAAATTACAATTTTAACAAGATCTCCTAGTGAGTGATACGTACAGCAGTGGTTCTCAAAATTTAGTATAAATCAGAATCATAAGGAGGGATGATTAAAACACAGATTCAGGGAACCACCACCTGGAATTTCGATTCAGTAGGTTTGGAGTAAGGCCCAAGAACTTGGACTTCTAACACATTCTCAAATGATGCTAATGCTGCTGATGAGGGGACTACATTTAGAGAATTACTCTCCCAGGTGAACTACAAATGAACTTCAGGTTTACATAAAACTTATATTTACTCCAAAGTTTGTGTATATGTACATTTTTCTAGAGAGAAAACCATTATTTCATCATGTTCTCAAAACAGTTTGTAATTTCAAGGAATGTAATTTGACAAAATCATCTCAACCCATTATTCTACAGACTAGAGTTTTCCTAAGTATGTATGTGTTCTATTGGTGATATGAGAAATGACTTTCAGGTTGTATATGATAAACATTTTCCTTTCTCTTTTTTTAATATGAAAAAGCACAAACATACATAAAAGAAAAACATAATGAAAATCGATATGCCTATCACACACTTTCATCCATACTTGGCAATCATCGCTACCATTATTTTTTAATCAAATTTATGTGCCAGACACATAAATTTCATTCATAAATTATGATTTCTAAAGGTAAAAACTTTCAAAAAATAAAAATTATTTTTAGGCATAACCACAATACCATAATCATGCCTAACAAAATTCACAATATTTCTTAAGATCATTTATATCCAATGAGTGTTCATATAGTTCCAATTGTTTCACAAATGTTCTTTTTCACTAGTTTGTCAAATTAGGATTCACATAAAGTCCATCCACTGCAACGGGTTGTTACATCTCTTAAATCTGTTTTATTCTGTATATTCCCATTCCATTTTTATTTTTAATAATATTGCATTTATTTTAATATATATTTAGCAAACACTACACATCCATACACCTACTTTTACAAAGGTCAAGAAAGAGTTCCTCAATTCCTTTGTTCTGTTTGGCTGAAGTGTGATAATGTTTTGCTCCCACAGATTCTGCATACCTTAAAAAGAAAAGTAACAACAGTAATTGATGTAAAATAATGTTTCAAGTTTTTGCCACAACTGCTATTTGAACTTTTTTTTAAAACAGTAGCACTTTTAGTGACTTATTACTAATTAACCCAGGTTTAGTGAAATTAAGATCATATACTGTTTAATATCTCTATATATAGAACCAACTTTTAAATAAGAATATATTGCAAGACTTGAAATTTTTATAAATTAATCTGCAACCCAAATATTTTAGTTTTCGTGACTCACTATTTGGCCATGGCAGTTTTCTTTTGCATCACTTTTATACTTTTTACTGAAACCAAAAAGAGAACTGAAAGTGAAATATCTTTAAATGTCAAGAAAAGTCTAGAAACTGCCAATGTAAACACACTTCATTGAATCCAATAGCTCAATCTATATTAAAAGGTTTGAGTAATAAATGGTAAAGAACACTGTGCAAGGATGAAGACTTCTTACAGAGAGTGACTGATGGAAGGAAGAGAAAGGACAACACTTACGATTCTGCTTCTTGAATGGAAACATGTCTCTCCTTCTCCAAGTCTACTTTATTACCTAATTGGAAAAAGTAAATGCCAGTGTTTAACAATGATTCATTTTTATCATGAAATTAAGCTAATTCTAAATATACAATTGCTATTTTAATCCCCTAGAAAAATAATGCAAATCCCCACCAGACTTCTCAGGGTCTTAAAACTATCAGATTAACTCCTATGACAGGAGGGTTGATTATGACTGTCAAGGTGAATGCCTCAACCTCCCTCAAATGGCTCAACGCATATCCCTCCTGAAGCTGCGGACTCGGAGAGGAAAGAACTCTCCTAAAGAGATGAGCATTCTTTTTGATTTAGAGTATAAATGGGATTAAGATTTACTAGGGAACCCTAACGAAAAATCTTTGATTCTTATCCAAGTGGAAGTGGTCCCCAATCAACTTACAGATGATCAGTAATTAAACAAGGCTATCTTATTGCTCATGAAAATATATTAGGCTAGCCTTTTGGATCCTAAGAATATTCTGGTTTTCTGGATGATATGAACTGATTAAAGAAAGCATTAAAACATATGGCTTTTGAAGTACTTCACCAGTGCAGGGGAAGAAACTGTACTGTTTTAAAAACATCAGAGAACTCAGTATATGAACACCATGCAGATTTTATTTCTTTTTGTCATTTATTTTTATTATTTGGAGGCTAATTACTTCACAATATTGTAGTGGTTTTTGCCATACATTGACATGAATCAGCCATGGATTTACATGTGTTCCCCATCCTGAACCCCTCTCCCACCTCCCTCCTCATCCCATCCCTCTGGGTCATCCCAGTGCACCAGCCCCGAGCACTTGTCTCATGCATCCAACCTGGACTGGCGATCTGTTTCACACTTGATAATATACCATGCAGATTTTAAATTATTGAAAATAAGTTTGGCTTTCCTTAAGCAATGAAACCAAACTGAAATTATGCTACAAAGCAACCAGAATAAAAGTGAAGAAACTTCAAAATGCAGATTCCTTACTATATACAGGCTAGAGATGAAGGTAAGTAGGCTGGACTGAGTGCTAAAGGCAATGTAAATAACGGACAGGAAAGGGGGAAATACACTAAGAAAGGACACATTAAACAAATATTTTCATTTCTTCTATTATGACCTATAGAGGTAAAAAAGAAAATCCTATAAACAAAGTCATTTTTTTCTTGGAACTTTAGAGCATCAGGAAGACAATTTCAGATAAAGCATTGAACTAAGCTCCCAATGAAAGATGCAACGCTTAGAACTGAGAAGTACAAGCCCAGAGGCTTTGCATATAGAAGACCTCAATAATCTGAGCCCCTAATTATATGCAGCTTCAAGTGACATTTGACACAGTAGCCTAAGGCTGAGAGGGAAGCAGACAAGCTAAAGCTCAGAAAGTGAAAGAAAGTGAAAGTGAAGTCGCTCAGTCGTGTATGACTCTTTGAGACCCCATGGACTGTAGCCCACCAGGCTCCCCCGTCCACAGAATTTTCCAGGCAAGAATACTGGAGTGGGTTGCCATTTCCTTCTCCAGGGGATCTTCCCGACCCAGGGATCAAACCCGGGTCTCCCGCACTGTAGGCAGACGCTTTTACCATCTGAGCCACCAGGGAAGCATCTGCCTACAGTGCAGGAGACTTGGGTTCAATTCTTGGGTCAGGAAGATCCCCTGGAGAAGGGAATGGCAACCCACTCCAGTATTCTCGGGCCCCCCTCCCAAAACAAACGGGCTCAAAGCTCAGAAGGTCCTAGCAAATTCAGTACTGACCTCTTCCTTCTTTGAACAGTCTACCGCAGCAAGAAAACACATATCAGTTCTGATCTCCCACATTATTCTGTCAATAAAATTTTTAATCTGCTAAATATTACAGCCAATATATCCAACAGCTGCCAGCAGAGTAAACTGTTCTATGCCATGAAGAATGCAAAAAGCACCACCTAGTGGCAGATGGTTCCAACAAGCAGGAACAAGATTCTGCCACAGTAAAAAGGTAAAACAGCCTCCTTATAGAAGGAGACACTTGTTGAAGTTAACGAAAACCCTCTGAGTTGGTTTGATAGAGCTTAAATGTCTCTTTTTTTTTCCCCAAAATCTTCCAGAATTACTAATATCTACTTTTTAAAAATGAGGTTAGGGAAAGTAGACAATCACCTTATTGCCTCAAATGAATATTCTGGGAAAACTGAGACACTGCTTTATTCTTTAATAGCATTTTAAACAGCGAACTTTAATGATGCCAGTTATTTTCTTTTAGATTTTTTGGCTCGCCACCATGGCTTGCAGTATATCTTCATTACCCAGCCAGAGACTGAACCTGGGCCACAGCAGGGAAAGTGCCAAGTCCTAAACACTGGGCCACCAGGGGTTCCCCCAAATCTGTTATTATTAAAATTGCTATTTTAATAACACAATTAATATTTTAAACAAAAAAATCCTTCTACTAAATAACTACTATTTCTTTGAACAGTAAGTGCTCATGATGGATTAACAGCACAGACTAAGTCACAAAACTGCCTGTCAGTGACTGATACCTTTCCAAAGTTCAAGACTTTTGTAGCTCCTGTGTTTGTTTGAAGGCAAGAGAGCTAAAGCTGGCAGCTTTGAGGCTTATTCCCCCGACAGCTCATATGATAAAGAGTCGGCTTGCAGTACTGGAGACCCAAGTTCGATCCCTGGGTCAGGAAGATCCCGTGGAGAAGGAAATGGCAACCCACTCCAGTATTCTTGCCTGGAAAATCTCATGGATGGAGGACAGGCTACAGTCCATGGGGTCACAAAGAGTCAGACACGACTAAGCCACTTCACTTCACTTCACTTCTGTTTCAATACTACTCTGTGGCCACATTGGGAACATTCCAATAGGCTTGAAACACCTGAAAACAAGAATAACCACCAAAATAAGCACCTACTTGAGACTACTATATACTCCCTGAGGGCTGAAGCCACTGGAGAAGAAAAGGCTATCCTGCTAAGAACACTAAAAACTTTTTCTTCTTTAAAAATACCTATTTTTTTTTTTTTTTTTTAAATACCTATTTTAATGAAGAACATGGAAGGGATATGCCCATTGCTAAGGGCAGATGGCTAATAGCAATAAAGAGGACTTTATTTTGCTTAGACAATAAAGGATGGAATGTGGCCTAGTGGAAACTTTTAAATCTGACAAAATTCACTTTAACTTCTGGCTCATTTCAAAACTATATGGATTGGTGCATATTACTTCACCCCTCTTAGTCTCACTTTGTACAAATGCAGCTAATAAACTTTCCAAGGTTTATGTGAAAATAAGATATAATGTAAAAGGTCCAGTAAATAGTACATATACAATGGAGAGTAGTTATTAAAATCAGCCATATTCATCACAGTGAATGATCAAATGAAAAATCAATACAGTTATGAGACTTAAAGCCCATGATAATTAACACACTTCTTATCACAATCCTGACTGGCTTAGAAAATCCTTTACCCACCCCACTCCCCAATTTAGTTAGGTTTCCCTTTGTGTTATCACAGCACCTTCCCCTTACTCTTTCACAGCATTTATCACAATATACAATAACAGCTTGTTTTTCTCTCTCACCCTACACGATAAGCTCTGGGACGACAAGGACCGTATCTATTTTTTTCCCCCTATTTTTTAACTTATTCACTATATTACTCCCAAAACCTGGTACACACCAGCAAGTAACACATATTGTTGGTTAAGGATACGGGCCTGAAGGAACAGACGGGCCTAAACTAAAACCCCAGGTCTCTCTCTAAATACTATGCAGTCTGGGAACTGTCAGGCTCGCTAGGTCCATTTCCTCACGTGTAAAATGGCAATGGCAACAATGCCTTCTTGCAGTGTTGTCAGGAGGCCTAAATGAAACAATAACGGTGTAGTTCTTAGAACAGTACCTGGCACTCAACAAGTGGTAAGTAGTTATTAATAAATATATGTTTAACAAACATACAAATGTTGAGAACAGACTATTAACAAAATATTCTATTAAATAGAGCAACCACAGCCAAGAGTGCTGATCAATGGATTAAATAAAACTAGAGGGGAAAGTCTCTACTAGCAAAGGATGGAGTTCTCTACTCCTGATTTACACATCATTAGTGGTTTAGATAAGGACCGAGAAGGTTAAGCATCTAATTTACACATGAAAAAGCTAGGAGATTGTAAATATGTCAAGCATAAACAGTCAGAAACATATGGCAAGTTGAATCTTACATTTAGGTTTATGTAACAGATATGCAGGAAGACAGGAAAAGCCTAACAGAAGAGCAATACTTATAAAAACGAAATTCTGATTTAACTATAATCTATGTAAAAGACAAATTAGGCTGACATGACTGCTAAAAAGCATATGCAATCTTAGAGATAAAAATCTAAACAAAAAAGGAACCAAAGAGAAACGCCAGAAGTCCAAGACAGAGTTCTAGAGTTCTCTTACTTTACCCACTAAGCATATTCCTCCACTCCAGTGAATCATGGTCTCCTTTCATCTTTGGAGTCGAAAGTCACCTTTGGAGTCCTTAACTCAAAAATATGTATAGTTAATTGTAACAAGAACAAATTCAAGGGATTAGATCTGGTAGACACAGTGTCTGAAGAACTATGGATGTAGGTTTGTAACACTGTACAGGAACCAGTAACCAAAATCATCCCAAAGAAAAAGAAATGCAAGAAGGCAAAGCGGTTGTCTGAGGAGGCTTTACAAACAGCCAAGGAAAGAAGAGAAGCAAAAGGCAAGGAAGAAAGGGAAAGATAAAACCCAACTGAATGCAGAGTTCCACAGAATAGCAAGGAGAGATAAGAAGGCCTTATTCAATGAACAATGCAAAGAAATAGAGGAAAATTATAGAATAGGAAAGACTAGAGACTGCTTCAAGAAAACTGGAGCTATCAAGGAAACATCTCATAATTATAAGGATGGGCACGATAAAGGACAGAAATGGTAAAGCCCTAACAGAAGCAGAAGAGACTAAGAAGTGCTGACAAGAACACACACAAAAACTGTACAAAAGAGATCTTAATGACCCAGATAACTAGAACTGGACATCCTGAAGTGTGAAGTCAAGTGGGCCTTCGGAAGCATGACTAAGAGCAAAGCTAGTGAAGGTGACGGAATTCCAGCTTACGTATTTAAAATCCTAATAGGTGATGCTGCTGCACTCAATATGCCAGTAAATTTGGAAAATCCAGCAGTGGCAACAGGACTGGAAAAGGTCAGTTTTCATTCCAATCCCAAAGAAAGGCAATGTCAAAGAATGTTCAAACTATCGCACAATTGCACTCATTTCACATGCTAGTAAGGTAATGCTCAAAAATCCTTCAAGGTAGGCTTCAATAGTACATGAACTGATAACTTCCAGATGTACAAGGTGGGTTTCGAAGAGGCAGAGGAAGCCAGAGATCAAACTGCCAACATTTGTTGAATGATGGAGAAAGCAAGGAAGTTCCAGAAAAACGTCTACTTCTGCTTCATTGACTACGCTAAAGCTTTTGACTGAGTGGATCACAAGAGACTGTGGAAAATTCTTAAAGAGATGGGAATACCAGACCACCTTACCTGTCTCCTGAGAAACCTGTTTACAAGTCAAGAAGCAACAGTTAGAACCGGACAGGGAACAACAGACTACTTCCAAATTGGAAAAGGAGTACGACAAGGCTGTGTTCTGTGACCCTGCTTATTTAACTTATATGCAGAGTACATCATGCAAAATGCCAGGCTGGATGAAGCACAAGCTGGAATCAAGATTGCTGGGGGAAATATCAACAACCTCAGATATGCAGATGATACCCCTCTAATGGCAAAAAGTGAAAACCTCTTGATTAGGGTGAAAGAGGAGAGTGAAAAAGTTGGTTTAAAACTCAATATTCAAAAAACTAAAATCATAGCATCTCGCCCCATCACTTCATGGCAAATAGATGGGGAAAAAGTGGAAACACTGACAGATTTTCTTTTGTTGGGCTCCAAAATCACTGTGCATAGTGACTGCCACCACAAAATAAAAAAGACAATTGTTCCTTGGAAGGTAAGCAATGACAAACCTAGACAGTGTATTAAAAAGTAATGACATCAATTTGCTGACAAAGGTCTATGCAGTCAAAGCTATGATTTTTCCAGTAGTCACGTATGAATGTTGAGTTGGACCATAAAGAAGGCTGAGTGCTGAACAATTGATGCTTTTGACTTGTGCTCTTCAAGACTTTTGAGAGTCCCTTGGACAGCAAGAAGATCAAACTAGTCAATCCTAAAAGAAATCAACACTGAATATTCACTGGAAGGACTGATGCTGAAACTAACACTCCAATACTTTGGCCAACTGAGTGAAGAGCCAACTCACTGGCAAAGCCCCTGATGCTGGGAAAGACTGAAGGCAAAAGGAGAAGGGAGTGGCAGAAAATAAGACGACTAGATAGCATCACCCATTTAATGGAGATGAATTTGAGCAAACTCTGGGAGATAGTGGAGGACAGAAGAGCCTGGCGTGCTGCAGGCCATGGGGTTGCAAAGAGTTGGACACAACTTAGGAACTGAACAACAACAATATGACAAGAACACAGCTTAAGTCACTGATTTTAATTATATTGTAGTTGCCAAACTCTTTTATTTTCTAAAATAATCTTATGATGAAAAACTAAAGGTCAAGTTGAAGCAAGGCTGGGAGACTCAAAGCCCTACATGTTCAGGGATTCCCAGCTGCTCCCCCAAGGGCATTCCTTGAATTACAGATGCTTGAATCTCTTGAAAGATCCCTTCAAAATTCTAAATTATTCTAAAATATTAAATATTAAAATACCATTCTTCTTTTCTCATGTAACTTTAAAATGAAAATTATTCATTTACTATCCTTTAATAAAGTATAAAAGAAACAAAGGTCATTTTAAAAAATTACTGTCACTTACCTACTATACATAAACAGATTTCATTTCCCAACATTTTCCGTAATTCTTTCACCCAGTTTTTAACCTGTGTATACAAGTGTAAATATTAAAACAAATCCTGTTACAATGACTACAATTACAATACCCCAAAATGCAATGTTGTGAAAATAGCTCAAAATTCTGTCTAATGGTCCATATGTTTAGTTATTAAGAATGATTGACTATATAGGAGCATGTATATTGCAAACCACAGACACACACATCCAATGGAAAGACTCCTCTCTCATCTACATACTAAGTATAAAGAGAAGCATCTCTAATTACAAACTTTCATAAATCGTCCACATATCTAAGCAAAGCTGTTCACCAGAGCAAAAGCATGTCAACTGCAGCCTCTGATAAGAGATGCTTATGTAGAATCACACTGGACTGAAGAACGTATGGGCTTGAAGATTCCCTAGTGGTCCAGCGGCTAGAACTCAGTGCTTTACTGCTCAGGGTCAGGGTTTAATCCCTGGTCAGGAAAACAAGATCCCACAAGGCACATGATGCAACCAAAAAAAAATTAAAAAATACACACATATACAAGCTTAATTATAAGTCTTTTATACCCCAGTTGGTTCCAAAATAGAGGCACAGGAGTGTCTGTGACACACACTTTAAGGAAAAACAAAACGTACAGGAGTAGAAAGAGAGTAAAATAAAGTTTTATCCTCTGGTGTGTGATAGGTTTCTTCACCCTCAGCATCACTGGTACTTTGGCTTTGCCAGCTCTCTCTGCAAGGGCTGTCCTGTGCAGTGAATGACACTTAGTAGCACCCCTGGCCTCCCACCGGCTAGACACCAATGCCATTGCCAGGTGTGACAACCAAAGCTGTCTCTAGACACTGCTACCACCTACGGTAACCACTGGACTGCCAGGAATTCCCTGCCTCTAGCCAATATTCTTCTTCATCTGCAGTCACATTCCCCTCCACAGGCATTACATTCATTAACCCATACACTCTGTGATGAATTACAGAGGGTCAGAAACTGTCTGCCAAGAGTCCATTTCTTCTCTCTCTGACTCTGCTCTAGCCAAGTCTCTTGCTTTGACCAAGAGAATGTGGCAGCACTAGCGCCATGCCAATACCAGACTAAAGTCTTAGGAAGTCTGTCAGCTCTCTCTTGGGATCTAGTTGTCATATAAGGTTTGGCTGGAATACAGAATAATGAGAGCATGTGGACAGAGTACTGGAGAAGAAGACACCAAATGGAGTGAGAAGGCACATGGGGGGAAACCAGGCCCTCTTGGATCCAGGTCCCCACCCAGCCACCCCCAGTTCATGCAGCAGTCTGAGTGACTCCACCGATAGCACACGGAGCAGAGGATTTGTCCAGAAAAGAGAGAGAAAATCGCTCAGTCCTGTCTGACTCTTTACGACCCCATGGACTATACAGTCCATGGAATTTTCCAGGCCAGAATACCAGAGTGGGTAGCCTTTCCCTTCTCCAGGGGATCTTCCCAACCCTGGGATCAAACCCAGGTCTCCTGCATTGCAGGCAGATTCTTTACCAACTGAGCCACAAGGGAAGCCCAGGCAACCCTCAAAACCATGAGAAATAATATGTTGTTTTAAGCCATCAAATGTGGGGGGTTTTGTTATGCAGCAAGAGATAACTGGTCACTTTTCAACCTAAACAACTCCACTTTCTTTTAATCAATAAAATACTTAAACCATTTCTTTCCATGCCAAAAAGGCAAGAAGGGATAGAAGGGATAACAAACAGCATCCCAAAGATAAAATGTTTTAAAATATCATTAAATCTGAAAGCTACCTATTTTCATTTTTCTACTCCTTGGCCTAAGTTTTTCAACACGGCATTAATAATCCAAAGGCTCACTTGTATATCTGCTTCATCCATTAAATGCTAGGAAATAAATAAAAATAAAAAACAAAAAGGGCAAGTAATTTCAAGAAGTACAAACCTGTAACTCAAGGCAAGGAAAGTTTCGCCTTGGAATTACCCCTTTTAGTTACGTATCTTTTCTTATTCCCAAAGGCTTTCAAAAGGTCAAATAAGTAAACAGTCACAATCCTAACTGTGATGAGAATTCAGAGGTTAAGTTTAATGGTCACTCAATTTTGGTCCCAAAAACTTTATAAAAACGGAAGTACTTTAAAATAAACACTGCATTGATTTTCCTTTTAAAATCTGTATTGAATCCTCCAGGATACCTAGTGAGGAGAAAAGAGCTTAAACTTGATTTAGTTCTTCTTCTGCCTCCCCATAATTATGGAACCCACCCGTGCAGCCATACCAAGTTTTCAGGTGCCCAGTGTGTACAGAATCAAAAGAAAAAGTTTGTGATTTTCTTCAATAAGGAGAAAAAAAGGCATCTATATTTTTCTGAAGCTTTTACTTCAGATTATTTCCCTTTCCAATATCTGAGAAAGCCATATAATAAACTATTAATAGATGATATCCATACTGTTAACATGAATTAAATACTCCATTAAAAAATATGACTGATCATCATTTATGCAGAAACTATGCTTTTAAAGCCAAGGCTAATCACACTGTTAAACAAACACGTTAATGCAGACTTGACAAATCACTGTTGCTCTATTAAGTCGTTCACCCATAAGTAAGCAAGATACCTTCTGAAAAGAATCTTCATCTGTTATATCATAAACTAAAATAGCTCCATTTGAATCTCTGTAGTAAATTGGACCCAATGCGTGGAATCTCTCTTGACCTGCTGTATCCTAAATAAAGCAACAAACGTTTATTAGACCAGAAGAAAAAATATATCTATTATTTAAACTACAGTGAGCTTCTAATTATAAACTAGGGTATAAAGTTATAGATAACCCCAAAACACTGTTAAAAGAAACAAGCTATAAAAAATTTTAAGTTATAATTAATATTTAATGTTTTACTGTTTTGTAAAGGTTACTTCTCCCCTCCCCAACCCTCCTCCTTCTCAGCAATCTTTCCCACCCTCGCTAAAAAGCCAACTCAGTTGTCAAAGGGCTGGCATGACCACAATGGCCTTATAATATAATTATGGAACCCACCCGTGCAGCCATACCAAGTTTTCAGGTGCCCAGTGTGTACAGAATCAAAAGAAAAAGTTTGTGATTTTCTTCAATAAGGAGAAAAAAAGGCATCTATATTTTTCTGAAGCTTTTACTTCAGATTATTTCCCTTTCCAATATCTGAGAAAGCCATATAATAAACTATTAATAGATGATATCCATACTGTTAACATGAATTAAATACTCCATTAAAAAATATGACTGATCATCATTTATGCAGAAACTATGCTTTTAAAGCCAAGGCTAATCACACTGTTAAACAAACACGTTAATGCAGACTTGAGAAATCACTGTTGCTCTATTAAGTCGTTCACCCATAAGTAAGCAAGATACCTTCTGAAAAGAATCTTCATCTGTTATATCATAAACTAAAATAGCTCCATTTGAATCTCTGTAGTAAATTGGACCCAATGCGTGGAATCTCTCTTGACCTGCTGTATCCTAAATAAAGCAACAAACGTTTATTAGACCAGAAGAAAAAATATATCTATTATTTAAACTACAGTGAGCTTCTAATTATAAACTAGGGTATAAAGTTATAGATAACCCCAAAACACTGTTAAAAGAAACAAGCTATAAAAAATTTTAAGTTATAATTAATATTTAATGTTTTACTGTTTTGTAAAGGTTACTTCTCCCCTCCCCAACCCTCCTCCTTCTCAGCAATCTTTCCCACCCTCGCTAAAAAGCCAACTCAGTTGTCAAAGGGCTGGCATGACCACAATGGCCTTGTAAGCCAGAAACAGGCTTGGCACTAAATTTACGTTCTCCACAGAGAGAGGAAACAAGGAGAAACTGCATTATCCTTGCCCTAGTCTCCACCAGCCACTCCCTTGGAAGATTAGGACATGGAGACAGGGGGATAAAGGCCAGGTAGGCTGTCCACCTCTTTCTCTGAAATGGAATCCCTTGAGTTCACCCTTCTCCAGTTGTAAAGTTATGACAGCATTATTCATGTATAACAAGTGTATTCAAGATAGAATTCTTAGCCAGATTTTAGGGGGAAAAGATGTTTAATTAAAAAAAAAAAGATTTTGGCTAACCTTGAGTTAACAACAACAAAAAAAATCCAGAAATTCAAATTCCTACCTTGAGTTAACAACAACAAAAAAAATCCAGAAATTCAAATTCCTATTTCTTAAGCCAATCAGTTATTAGAGTATGAAGAGCAGGTAAAGGCCTTCACGCATACAGCTGAAAACGTTAACTTACCCATATAGCAAGATTTACTCTCTTCCCACCAATATTTAACTTCTTTGTTAAGAATGATGCCTAAGAAGAGAGAGATACATTAAATGATGTTTCACATAGAACTTCTTATCCTAAAAACTATAGATGAATCGTATCATACGACACAAGCTATCTGGGAGAAAAAGCAATCATGAGTTTCTATTAATAACTAAACATTGTTTCCACTGAAAACAGAACATTATTTTTATTCTAAGAAAAAGATATTTTGTTTTATGAACACAAGTTATAAAAGTACCCAAAAGCTGGTCATTAAATGTTTTCTTAGTTTTTTTTTTCCCTCATTAAAACATTTTCTTAGCATTTAATTTGATGCCACCTAACCTACTCATTATAGAAAGAGTCTAAGAGACTTCTAAGATGAGATTAAAGAAATGTTTACTCCTGTTTTCTTGGAATCCAAACACCCTGCATTTCACCTTAAATTTTTTGTTAGTATTTGTATAACTTCCCTTTCACAAATAATACATTTTCNACTGAAGCCTGAAACATGTAACTCCCCCATGCCACAGGAAACTCCAAGCTGGTCTGGCGTATGCCAGAGATGAAACTCTAAAGTTAGGAAAAGGTTGAATCAAAAAACCCTGAAACTCCATATCTAAGGATATGGACTTAACCTTGTGGGTCTCAATAAAAGCTGTTTCAATACTCTAGACAAGGTTTTTGGTTTTTTTTTTCTAATGCACACCACAGGCAGGTGTATTTGTGGACTGCTGTGTATTGCTCCCTACCGCCCTTGTGCATTCACAGTGCACACTGAGAGTCTGCCAAAAGAAAGACTGGCTAATTGTATTTATACAAGTATTTCCCAAACTCATTTGACTTCTTTTCCCCTGAAGAAACACCTAACTCATCCAAAGAAGTAAATGTTAGGAAATAATACTGCTGACAATGAAGAATCAATGAAGGGTTTTTAAGCAGTGAGGACATATAAAATCTGTATTTTTAAGAGAATGACTATGATAGGAAGAAAGACAGGACTAGACCTGGAAGACAGGAGGCTATTTTAAAGCTGGAAAGAAAAGCAAAAAGGGCCTGAATTAAATGCATTAAGATAGAAAAAGAGAATAAAATCAAGAATAATTGAAGAGGGAATATAATCAGAAACCTGAGTCAGTTGACATGTTTAAAAAAGGAACAAAGAACCAAGTTCAAAGCTATTCAGAAATTATCACATTTAAGTGTATCAATACAAAAGAAAGTGCAAAGATGGAAAGTAAAACAGATAAAAAGGCTAGGATGGTGAATTACTGATATTACTGAAGGAAAAAGAACCTAGATTTTAGGAAGGACTTTCTACTGTATACATACCAAGGAAAATTAAAAACTAAGAAAAGGCCACTAGATTGAATGATTAACTAAGGAATCCAGATACAAAGGAATTACAAACGGCAGAGCTGAGATCAAATCCAGGAATGTCTACCTTCAAGATATTTTATTAAATAAAACAAAGGTTATACAGAAAAGGGTATATTTAATTCAATGGCAAAACAACAAAGGAAATAACTTGCAAAATAAGAAGACCAAATACATGTTATGACAATAAATATGAATGAAGGAATATTTCCCACTCATAGCATAAGGGTTAAGAATATCAACTTTGAAGCAGAACTTTGGATTTGAATCTCAGCTTTGCCACTTATCAGTTGTATAATTTATTTGAACTCAACCATTTGCCCTATTTCGTTATCATTGTTATATAAAGAAACTAAAAATCTGACTCCTATACAAATGTTTAATAGATAAGTTAAATGCCTCTTTCTCCTCTTTCAAACATATTTAAAATTAAACTGATCTGCCCTCCAAAATTGGCTTTCCACTGTAACATTAGTATTTTGATCACATTCTCCAAGGCACTGAGGTTTAACATCTCAGGAATATCATCACTGAATATTCTTCCTTCCCTGTCATCCCATATTCCAAAAAAACTGATCAAGTCTTGTCTTCATATTTCCTCTCAAGTTCTATGACCACCAATCTCATATTAAGTCATAAATATAAATACCTTTGGTCTCACCTCACACTCTGGTTCTCTAGTCTACATGCCACATTATCTTCCCCAAACCTCCATGATTAAAAATAAAAACAAGCAGACAAACAAAAACAAAAAGCCCTTACCACATCCATAGCTGAGTTCTCTAATAAGTTATCACTTTACATTAGTATACTTGAACTATATCCTGCTGGCAGGTAATATCATAAAAGCCTTTTGTCAAGAGTTTTGTGGGGATTTCTCAGCAAAGGGAAGTGAATTACAGCTGGGAAAGCTCCATCATTTCCTTTCTACTATTCCTTCTGAAACTTACCATCACTTTCCATGGTGAGTTGAGAGACAGTGCTAAGTCTCTCCTAAGGAACCATGGACGTATAGAAGAGTGCTCATTAGAGCATTGATTCTTTAGAAAAAGCAAGAAAGAAAATGGAACGAAATAACCTAAGTATCTATCACTAGGCAATACTTTAAAAAATATACAAATGTAGCCCATCGATACAGTGAGACACTACACAGTCATTTCTACTGCTATTGCTAATACCAGCTAACAGTTACTGAACGCTTACCTTTCACCAAGTGCGGCGCAATGCACTTTTTACAAAGTCATTCATAAGCTTCTCCTTTATGAAAGTCAGGGAGCCCTAATATAGAAATAAAAATCTCAAAGCCTTATCTTTGTATCCAAGGACCTCCACCATTTGTCCACATCTATCTTCCTAGAAAGCTTCCAGTATTCACAGAGTCTATACTATATATTCCCTCCAATCCTGTTTGTTCATAAAATTCCTCTCTAACTTGGGCCTATTCTTTAGTCTCTATCTTAATCTCATCTATCCAAGACCAGTTCACAGACCTATAATAATCTTCTCTGAATTTTTTAATTGTCTCATACCACCCATACAGCCCACACTGGATTTCTCTATGCAGCAGAACTTTAGGGAACCTAATCTTACAATATACAGCACATACCACCTCATATTTTAACTTATCTTTTCATGGGTATACGTATTCTGTTAACTAGATTACATATTTTTATTTAACACTTTCACAGTGCTTACAATGACATGGGCAGTGTTTTAAATACTTTTCAATATTAATTCACTTCTCGTAAAACTGTGATTAGATATAGTTATTATCCAAATGTTATAGAAGTGGACACAGAGACAAAGGAATGTTAAGTATCTTGTTCAAGGTCACAAGTGACAGAGTAGGATTTGAAATCTAGGGGGTCTGGCTTCAGGCATGATTCATAAGCACTGTGCTGTGGTACCTGCCAGACTGAGATGTGAACGAACACTTCTCTAACAGAGGGGGCAGGGGGAATCACAGTGCTGCCCACAGTAGACTTGCAAATGTTGTTACTGTAGATAAATTCATCTACAGTGTGCCTGGTATAATTCAATTTATGTAAAAGATATGCTTCAAATAGTTTCCTTATAAACCAAATTATTTTAACTCAAATATCTTGATGCACCAGGAAAGCACATTGTAACACAGTACTCACTAAGTCTTTTCTTTCTGCCTTCATAACAAAAAACCTTAAGACTCTCTCTATGGAAAGAGTTCTTCTGTAATACAAATCATCTCATTTTATATAAGTCCTAAATTCTTAATATTTCATAGATTTTTTTTAAAGAACAAACATCTTCTGTTTTAAAAACAATTACAGTTGAGAATAAAGTGGAAAGATTTAACATGACATCAAGACAGCTGCAAATGATCAGAAGGTTTAAATCTCTTTTTTCTCCCCCCAACTACCTCTATGAGGCATACTTAATTTGGCCAAGCTACTGAGATACCATTCATGGTGATGTAATACTCTGGGGCAGAGGTTCTTAATTCTATTACATGGTAGTAAAAATAGGAAGAAGGTATAATCATGAACTGCTTTGAGAATCAGATAAAAGCCATGAACCCACTCAACACTCAAGAAAACTGCTCATATGCACATATAAAGAAAAAAATTTTTTTTCACACACTTTCCTAAGGAATTTATAAAGCCCTGGCAACATCTCAGTGAAAGAACCCCATTGAGAAAGAGAAGGGGAGAGTGGCATAAACAATGTCAATTCAAAGGTTTCGAGGAAAATGGGAAGAAAAAAAATAGTACATATTATGTGCCACCACGCTTCGTCTTTCTCATTTTATTTTTGTATTAATAAGAACCCTGTGAAGTAGGCAATTAGCCCTATTTCACAGGTGTGAATCCGAGATTTAAAGAAATACAGTGACTCACCCAAGGTCAGACAACTCAGTCAGGTACTGCAGTGGGTGGAAGGCTGTCTGACTTTTCCCACTGCACAAAGCTGCCTATTCTAGAACACACACGTTCTTAAGCTGGCTCTCCTCCACTTGGACTGAGTGCTCCTGGACACCAACTCATCTCCCAAAATACTCTCAGGGTAGCCACAAACAATGAGAATCAATGCAGTGGTACGTTTCTCACTTTAGTCCTCCAAACCCTGAGTTGTGTTTGTGTGTGCGCGTGCGCTCAGCATGCCTGGTTGCTCAGTCATGTCCAACTCTTTGCGACCCCATGGACTGCAGCCCTGCCAGGGTCCTCTGTCTACAGAATTATCGCCGGCAAGAATACTGGAGCAGGTTGTCATTTCCTACTCCAGGGGCTCTTCCAGACCCAGAGATCAAACCCACCTGTCTTGCACTTTCTGCATTGGCAGATGGATTCTTTACCAGTGCACCACCTGAAAACCCTGAGTTACAGCATCACTATTTCTTCTAATTCCAAAGATTTCATCTTCCAAACTTTAGGTGGATTAAGAGACTTATCAATCTTATTAGACATCTGTCATTCACACCTGATGCTTATTTTACCCAGCACTTTATTTGAAGTCATGATGGGTACTTTTTTAATCTCTATTTTTAAAAAATGCTTATAGGTGAGATATAGTAAGAATAAATTGAATTTGCCAAGTGAAAGTCTTTTCATAACTGGTTTCATCAAAGTTTTAATGTTTTTCTGGGTTTTTTTTGGCCAAACCACTTGTTCTTTCGGCAAAACAAAATACCTAAT